TGACTCACATTTCCGAAGACATTATTTTGAATTAATTAAGCTTAGTTTGGAAGTCACGAGTCTGTATGACTAGTTGGAAAACTATTCTCTTTACCATTTGGCTTTTTTTTTCTTTTCGATTTTCATCTGAAGGCTAAAAGATTTTTTCCGTACACACTCCAGTAGAGAGTGCTGGTTGATACAAATACACACTTATTTATATATATTTTATTTTTAATTTTTTTAAAGATTTTATTTTTAAGTAATCTCTATACCCAACATAGATCTTGAACTCAGAACCGTGAGACTAAGCGTCCCATTGCTTTACCAACTGAGCCAGCCAGGCGCCCCGAAGCAAATTACCTCCTATTTTCTATTGAAAATTAACTTTTCTATAGTTTTTGTTGTTTCGTCTAATAGCAGTGTATCTGGACTTACTATGGTTCGACTGAACATTTTTTCGACTTTACGAGGGTGCGGACGCAATACTGGTTCAGTAGGAACTAGGTGGAATTTTGAGTTTTGATCTCTCCTGGGCTAGTGGTATGTGGTCTCAACAGCCACTGGATCACGAAGGTAAAGAGCCCGTAAACTCACAACCAGTGTGCGCCCATCAACTGCTCTGTTCTTCCAGTTTCAGTGTCTAATGGTTTGCACGAGATACTCAACAGTTCAGTAGGCTGTTAGATGCTTTTGCCCAGTTGTAAGCTAATGTAAGTGTTCTGAGCATACTTAAGGTAGGCTAGCCTAAGCTACGATATTCGGTAGGTTACATGTAGTAAATGCATTTTTGACTCATGATATTTTCAATTTATAATGGGCTTACTGGGATGGAATCCTATAAGTTGAGGAAGATGTGCATTATTTTTCATTATTGCTATTCCATTGCATTACTCTGCCACAGCTGACCCTTTTGGGTTTACGGTTTGAAGCTATTCTGAAAGCAGGTATGAACATTTTGGGGCATGTTTTTTGATGAAGTCACACTTACTCCTTGGAAATATATAAGGCATTGGAAGAGCTCAGTCATAGGGTATAAGTAGGTCTTGTTTTATTAGATACTGCCAAAACATTTTCTAAAGTAGATCAATTTACACTCCAACCACCTTGCATGAAATTTCTAATTGTTCTACATTCTTGCCAACACATAGTATCAGTTTTTAAAAAAATTTTAGGCTTTCTGCTGAGGTTATATTTCTCATTCTGATTTTGAATTTGCATTTCCTTGATAGTTGTTGTCGAGCAATTTTTTATATGCATATTGGCCGTTTGGATGTCTTCTTTAGTGTTTTGTCCATGAAGCATTGTTCATATTTTAAAATTTATTTTTAGAAAATGTTTAGTCTGGATATAAGTCCATTGCCAAATTTATGCATTGCAAATATTTTCTTTCTTTTTTTTTTTTTTAAGTAAGCTCTACGCCCATTGTGGGGCTTGAACTCATGACCCCAATATTGAGAGTAGCATGCTCCACCAACTAAGCCAGCCAGGCACTCCTCAAATATTTTCCTTTTTATCTAGAGCTCGCTTGTAGCTTTGATGCTCACAAATTCTGAACTTTAATGAAGTACAGTTCTCATTTTTGTACCATTTTTTTTGCCTACACAGAATTATGGAAATAGTTTTACATGTATGTCTATGATCCGCCTCAAAATATTTTTTAAAGCTCATTTTATTTTTTCCATATGGTTACCCAATCGATCTAGCTCTACATGTATTTTTGTAAGTTTTTATTTAAATTCCAATGTTGTTAACATACAGTGTAATATTAGTTTCTGGTGTACAATACAGTGATTCAACACTTCCATCCATCACCCGGTGCTCATCACGACAGGTGCGCTCCTTCATCCCCATCACCTGTTCCCCCATCCCTCACCCACCTCCACTCTGGTCACCATCAGTGTGTCCTCTGTAGTTCAGAGTCAGTTTCTTGGTTTGCCTTGCTCTCTCTTCTCCCTTTGCTCATCGGGGAGTCTGCTTCTCCCTCTCCCTCTGCTGCTCCCCCTGCTCGTGCTCTCACTCTGTCAAATAAATAAAATCTTTAAAAAAAATAAGATGGCATTCATATGCTTTCTAGACCTAGCCTTGCCCTTATTCCAGATTTGGGCTGAAACACTCCCACTTCATGGTTCCATGATGTCTCTCTATCAGCACCTGGGAGCTGACCAGTACCTGGAGGGTTGACAGGTGGCAGGATGATAATCCCAAGATGATATGATGATCATGGTGGTGATACTGTAATAATAAAACACAGCTGGCCCTTGAACAATGGGGGGCTTAGGGGTGCCAGTGGCCTGCGTCAAAAATCCACTTAACTACTAACAATGCACTGCTGACCAGGAGCCTTCCCGATAACACAGTCACTGAGCACACACTGTGAATGCTGTCTGTATTCTAGGCCTTATTCTTACGGTAAAGTCAGCTACAGAAAAGGAAATGTTACTAAGAAACTCGAAGAGAAATACATTCACAGCACTTACTGTACTGTATTTATTGAGATCACGTATACATGGACCCACACAGTTCAAATCTGTGTTGTTCAAGGGTCGACTGTAACAGCTAATATTTCTGAACACGTCCTGTCTCACCGCACATTGTTCTAAACATTTTCCATGGGCTGTCACTTCATTCTGTCAGGTGAGTCAGGACTGTTGAGCCTTCTCCCTCCAGCACGAACGTGATGCTTCCCCGGAAACCAGCAGAGGCTCTGACAGCCGGTCTTTCCCGGGGGCCCACCTGCCCCAGGTCCCACTGCCTCCTGGCTTCACCGGGCCAGCTGACCCTGCCCTCAGCCCCACAGCACATACAGAGTGGAAGAGCCTGAAGATCGCTTTTGACACCGACTCAGTTCAACTACTTAGTGTATTTGTGGGAGCACTTAGAAGTGGAAAGAGGCCATGTAAACCCCTGTTCACCTCCAGAATAGCCTGGACCTTTCTACAACCTCCTACTGGGTTAACCAGGAAGATGCCAATCCCGTCCTACCTTGGGGAGAACTGTGTCTATTCCTACCCAGACCTCACACTTGGCCGTCGGCCCAGGCTCCACACCTTGGCCATTTATGTAAGCGAAACAAAGAACAGCACTTGACCCAGACCTCTCCTTGGGGTCCCTGGATCAGTTAACACCTGTCTCCCAGGCTTTGCATTCTTGGCTCCTTACCCGGGTTTTAGTATCTGTTTCTAGATTATTTAATTTGTAGTTCACTCTGGCTTCTTGTACTTTCCTTTTCTTCTAATTTTGGCATTGCGACCTTGTGTTCTTGGGAGCAATCCATTTCTGCAGCCTGGGGAGCATACAACTGGAAAACTAACTCCGTCCTAGGAGGGAGGTGAGCTAACTTTGGGGTTTCTTAAATTAAGATGAAGTTTTGAGTCCTTGGACTCCTTCAAAAAAAATTTCTATGGAAAATATTCTGCATTTGGACATGCGTATTCCTGAGCTGCTTGCAGCTCACGTGGTCTTGGATTACATCTGGCGATAATCTGCCACTGTTCCCCGTTTGTTTCATAGGGGACGTTGACGACGTCATCCGAGCTACCAATGAAAGCTGTCGGATCAATAGGACCAGATACAGAGTCCATCCAGTAGAGACAGGAAAATGTATTGCTTAACTATATTATGAGTCGTATTTACCTCCTTCG